AAAAAAAAACATGGGAAGCTAGCATAGGGAACGGCCATAGGATGCCGGCAAGTGTTGCCGAGGTTGCCGACGTTGTAGGACCTCTCCGCGTGTTTTGTGCTCTCTAAGCGGCCCCTCCTCCAGCAACCGTTGGCAACCTATGGCCGTCCCCATAGAAAATTTCGATAGGAACATATATGCACAGAAGTGAGATTTACTCAATTACCTGGATAATCGATTAAACGTTCCATTGCGAGCACAGAATTATAAGGATGAACAATGACATCACTCGTGTCTCCATGGTTTGCAAATACCGAAAACGTCAGGATGATTTTCTTTGGGAACCTACAATGATCGACAAACATAGTTACATCATTATTTACCAATCCGCTACCTGTCGCGTATCTTCTCCAGTATGACTGAGCCCATACCAGATCCTGTACCACCGGAGACAGAATGTGTAAATAAGAATCCATTCATCTGGTCACTGTTTTCTGACTCACGCTCAATGATGTCCAATATTTGCTCGTAGACTTCCCTAAAGAGCCGAGTTGGTAACACAGAAAGCGACCCTTGTGTCTTACCTACCCTCCCTGCCCATAACCGCTCGCCCAGTTGTTACCGGCACCTCCACCATGGGTTGACATGTAGACATTATCAGGGTTGAAGAGTCTACTGAAGTTCTCGCTAGCCATGATTCCGTTGATAACTCTTGGCTCAAGATCGACCAAAACTGCTCGAGGAACATAATGGTCGTCATCAGCCTGAATGTAATGATGCGGATGTGCGAAAACATGAAGACCTCTAGGGATATGTAACTCTGAATTCAGATACTCTTCTCCGAACATCGCGTGTTTTGTTTATGCAGTGATTCAGATTGTAAAGTATCATAGTATGAACTATTCCTATGTTTCGTAGAATACTGATACTATACCGGTCCAAGAAAAGCACCTCCATTCATTTTTACTGTATTGTGGAAGCCTTAAAAGTCTAACCAGACAAGCAATTCATTCTACACATTCCTGGCCATGGAATCACTGTATAAACAAACACTACACCGTACAATATTCGTAACAGTAACACCACAATTTCAAAACATGTGTTTCCAAGATTTTCTGCACTAAGCTGCTCCAAGCAGACATCCACACAAAAATTTTCCACAAGAAATTTCGGAAAATTTGAGTGAATAATCGGGGTACTTGTACCAAAGGAATTCTTGAACATCCAATGCAAATCTAACCTGATAGAAAAATACATCTTTATCGTCGAGGAGACTTTCTTCACAGGTCATTCGCCCTCTTCTGTAATGTAAATTTAGTTTTGCCTAACTATTTTCGCAAGCAACATTTCGCATATTGTACTAACCCATCAATTGCATGTTCATCACAAAGAGTTTTCCAGAAACTTTGTCCGATCTGATTACCACACTGCCCAACATGTATGGACATCAACTGTCCCCGTGCATGGGACATCTACAATGAACTCAACTCAGCCATGTTCCGCAACTTCATGAGCACAATAAATACTAGCGAATGTTTACGGCTGCACATCAGAGTGATAAATTCAATATAACTTTATACATGACAATAGAGCAGAACTATTCAGAAAGTAACAAGTGATAACAAATAAATCAACAACAAATGAAGTAAAGCCATCATGTTTTACTCTTTTCCGCATAATTCTGGTAGCTCGTCTCAAACTTCTCTCGTATTGTCGCAAACACCTGAACTGATATTATATGAAGG